GAAACACAACCGATCAGATGCCCAGGTCCAAAAGATCGCTGACAAGCGAAAGGCTTACAAGCAGCGTAATGCTGAATACTGGGGTTACAACGATTCATTCGTTTACTCATCCGGCAACAGCTGGTACGACAAATCGCAACCATCAGGTAGCCATCACAGATATGGAAGATTCTGGGAGTGGCCACAGCCTGAACGTCCCAGCGAGCCTGAAGGTCCTCCTCCAAGAAGGAACCAGGAATCATCGTCCTCTTCACAACAAGATCTACCAAGATCAAGGTCCAGGCCTCAAAGAACCAATATTGTTGACAAGCTCAACATGTCTTTGGAAGAGCTGGATGGACTAGAAGAAGAACCGTCACCAACAAAAAGTGACATCGAAGAACACGAAAGAGAAACATCAAACTTGATGTCTGCTCAGAGAGATGAAGAGGAACAAGAGGACGAATCCTCCAGTCGGAGAAGAAGAAGGAAGGCATCGCGTCCACCGTCTGCTCCGAGCGGCAAGGCACTCAGAACAGCTGCAACAGCAGCGGGGTTGTCGGGCTGGTTCGGACACCGCAACCGAGGTGGAGCAAACGCAGAGTCTACCAAGACTGATGAAACTTCACTTCCAGACTCACTAACCAGTGAGCAAGACTTCTCCGTCTTCAGCATCACGTGGAATGTGTTCCTGCTGCTAATGGGCTTACACTGGATGTGGAAGCAGATTACCAGGCCTCCTATCAGATGCATGGAGCGCCAACAACCAAAATCAAAAGCAGCAGCGAACCAAAGAGTTCCATTCCTCGAACCCGAGGATGAACCGCAGACGCGTGAACCTTTAGGACCCAACAGGGTCAATTCCGGAGAAACAACTGATCTGCGACCTATTTGGCATACTTCCCGAAGCGAAGTTTACCATCTCTCAGACAGCCTTTACCAGCTTAAGCAAGCAAGAGATGTTTGCAGGAAGGTGCTGTGCAAAAACTGCCTTCATGCAGTACAAGTTGCGGAGATTCGCAGGAATGATCCTTTCCAAAGAGGTGATACACGACCACGTGGCACCGAAAGAGACATTGAGCGCTTCCAGACTTACGATGATGCAAGTAACACCCCTCACATGACACAATTATTCCAGGATGCCTTGCATGCACAAATGGCCGAGGAAGCCATGCAGATTACCTATACATCTATCCCCAAGGGATCCTCGGCAAAAGCCAGAGGTACATCTGCACTCTCAAGTGCCGCATCGTCATCAGCGCCCAAGGCAATGCCACCAGGGCCTAACAAGGCAAACATATCACCTCCACCTAAGAGTCCTCCGCCAAAGGCGAAAGGAACAGTACCTTCTGCTCCTCCGAGACCAAAAGGTCCTACCAGAAGAGGAGGTCAAAATCGGCGTATTCAACGAAAGGCAGCCAGAGAAGCCCACAACAGTGGACTCTGCACTTATGCAGACGCTGCACTTGACGAAGCCAATCAAGGCCAGGCAATTAACGTTACGTGCCGAAACATAGTAGCAAGACACGTCAGCTCTATCGATGCAACGGTAGAAGCAGCCGGCCAGTTTACACAACGCGTGCTACAGCACGTAGAAACATATGATGAAGAGGAACCGTGGAGCACGGAGTTCCTACCAGTCGTGGAAGTCCTATTCAGGAACTTAAGCGGCGACGAAACAACTGTCATACATGACAATCAAACGGTAACTATGCCTCTTGCGAAATACACAGACCTCCTCAGAATCGCACAAGCATTGCGAGGCTCTATCCAGAGAGACAAGGAGGAAAGAAAGGAACATCTTGACACCATCCAAGATACTCTATCCAGAGTGGAAATCCTTCTCACAGCACTGAAGGACTCAAGGACAGTCTTTAACCAATTGGTCCATTCCTCACTAGAGATAGAGCGAAGAAATAACAATCTCAAAAATGTCCTCGAGACACTTTTTGATGACCAAAGTTCTGAGGAAGACCAATCAGAATCTGACAATGAAGAAGTCCTAACTCCTTCTGCACCACAGTACTGGAATAGCCTTTATGCCCACGCCTTATCTCCTTCAGGAGATGAAAGCGAAAGATCATGGGCGTCCTCAGACGGACAGCTTGAAAGAAGAAGGGCTGAACGGGCAAAGGCTAAGCAGCCGCAACCGGCAAAAGCCAAGGCAACTCCAATCAGCTCACAAGCTGCTCCAAAGGCCGAGCCAAAGGCGACAACATCCAACCATGGATATGATACTGCAGATGCCGCCTTCACCAGGGCTGAGAACAGACTACTCGGAATCTTTTCAAGTTCCGAAGAAGATCACTCAGACCCGGATGAGCCACATCCGAACGTCTATGCTCGAGCCTATGATCCAAACCTGGATCCGAATCTGAGATAAGAAAATTCTCAGAGTTTCACAATAGTGAATCACAAGGCTCTAACAAGAGCACAATGAATGGCTGCATAATTCGGTAGTAGAACATCACCAGACCTGATCTTGTACAGATGATCTCTCTGACAAATATGCATGAGTGTGTTTGCAAAAACGAGTGGAGTGTCCTCAGCTGTGTACTTCAGTGCTATACCTAGCATACATAATATGCTGTTTTTATAATGAGTCCAAAACTCCGCAACTGTGACAGTGGGCATAACAGTATATGTGTGAATGTGCGGCCATGCTTTCGGTAAAAGAAAATTAGTGTCTGTTTGAAACCATAAACCTCTAAAGGGGTAGCTCTAACAGGTACCTACAGCAATGGCTGCATGCTCATACATATACATTCCGCTGCCCATTGGCTCACAGTGGTTTTACCATATTGAGACAAGACAAGCTCTCCTTGCGTAGCAAGACAAAACAACTACTGTCCGTGTGCAGGGCGCTGCCCTTTGATCCTTAGGGAATAAACTGGTCATACACCTCCTTACAAGGAGTATCCCTTGGGGGTGTATCGGCACAGGGGGGGGGGGGCAGGGGGGGGGCAGGGGGTCCAGTGGGCCCCTGTTTTGGGGTGGGGTTTCTGAGAAGGGACTAAGAGGTGGGGAATAGAGGGAATCCGAATAGGAACCTCTGACCGCTTCGGCCGGGGCCGAGGCGAATATTAAATTGTTGGTTATTATAATCCCTAAGGAACAGCAAAATTGTAAGTTTGCTACAGTATAGGGACTGTGAGGGAGATCCATAAGAAATTTCTCGGGAATTGACAAGACTTCCAGAAGGGTTCTATCAGGATTCTATAGGTTTTAGGGGCACTTACCTTATCTGGTCCAGAAGACTTGGTAAGTGGGTTATAAGCACGATACACATATGGGAGTTTCCGAAAACTAGGGTACCTTATTTGGGGGTCCTTATAATAAGGATCCTACTATTTGGGGTACTCTATTAGGGTCCCCTATTTTCGGAAACTCCCATATCGCAGCCCGCTTTTTCGGCCTGCATACTACGTCTCCTCCCGATCCCCTAAACCCTAAACCCTAAACCCTAAACCCCTAAACCCTAAACCCTAAACCGTGCATACTACGTCTCCTCCAGATCCCCTAAACCCTAAACCCTAAACCCTAAACCCCTAAACCCTAAACCCTAAACCGTGCATACTACGTCTCCTCCAGATCCCCTAAATCCTAAACCCTAAACTCTAAACCGCAAGCCCGTAGCACCCGAAGCCCCACGGGAGATCATGAATCCATGACCTGTAAAGCCCCCAACACAACCCGGAAACCTCCGGCAGTGTAGGTAAGTAAGCCGAACAGTGCTCCTGTTAGGCTTAACACATATGGCAACCCTCATCGTAGCCGTTATACCAATCCTGAAAGTAAGCCGTAGGATAGGATCTTTGGTTCTTTGGTTTGGGGCTTAAGAGTTCAGAGTAAGACTTGTTCTTGCTCGAGAGGTTTTTTTTAAATAGAGGCTTTGCATCCGGGTTTGGGGGGTTTGCATCGATGGAAGATCTAACCCTAATTACTAAGTCCCATGATCCTCTAAGTCAGTATGGGATGGCGGCATGGAGCCTCACTTTTCCGGTCCACCCAGGCCTGCAGACGATGTGAATAAGAGCCCCAACCCCTAAGCCGTCGCTCCCCTGCATGTAGAAGCAATGAATGAATGGAAGCCCTAAGCGCTAAGCCCTAAACGGTTGAGGGTTTAAGGTTTGGGGTTCAGGGTTCAGGTGCCTAACCTCAATCCTAAACCTCAAAGACCTTCAGATCGTGTTTGCGTCTCAGGCTGGAGCCGCTAGAACGGAAACGTAAATGGACAACACGAATCGGGGTACTGCCCTGAGGCTTGAGGCTTCAACCCTATGCCAGAATTAGAACCATGGCCGCCCAGGGACTCCAGTATCCCGTGCTGAATATGCATCAAACTGATGGATAGTTACGGCATGACATTTCAACGTGTTTAACTCTATGCTGCATTGTAAGCCCCGTATATACCTTTTAACACCAGTCTCAAAGCAAGGTCGCTCGACCCACTGGTGGCTCTGTCTGAGCTCCAGTGGGGTGGTGGTGTGCATGGGATGCGCCGGCTGCAAGGTGGTGGTTTGTGTGCGGATTAGGGTGTAGGGTTTAGGGGTTATGAGGACTTCCTGAGGGTCTCTCTGCAAATCCTTACTCAGCACACCCTGGACCCTGGACCTGAGCAAAAAGCTTTGCGCCTACACCCCTACTTAAAGGCTCATGGGACTTAGTAAGTAAGGTTATAAGTAGGTTATAATTAGGATAACCCCACTTAGGGGACTTATAACCCCAATTATAACCCACTTACTAAGTCCCCTGGTCCGCCTAAGTAAAGGCCCTAAACCCTGAATCCCAAGCTTGCCCCTGGGCAGGGAAGCAGTATGCGGAGCGAACGTCCCACTGCACCCTTAAAACAAAAATTGCCCCTGAACTCCAAACCCGAAATCTTCGAAGATCCCAAAGCTCAAGACATAAGAGAGGGGTCTGCAAGCTCTTATATAAGTACCATAATACTCTCCCCCCGAACACGGTTGCAGTTACAGAGGCTTCAACATCAGCCCTACGCTCCTGCTTTGGCTGTTGCCATGGCTTTCGCTGAGTACAGCACTGGCACCGTAGCCGTAGATCCAGGTATGCCCGTCCGGACAAACAAGATGTAGGAGCATCAGCTCTCCAGATTGCTTCTGCCACACTTCCATCCCGAGTTAATGGGTTTGGGTTTTGGGTTCTGAGCTCAGGAATTAGATTAGACATGCAAAGTCGACACAGCAAAGCGATGACAGATCACAGTTTCCTTCGAAGCCCTGCTTAGGCGACGCCCTTTAAGCCCCAAGCTTTATTTCGAAAGTAAAAAAACTTGCGAGCCCAAGCCTAACAAGCCCAAAATTTGCAGCCAAAACGTCCAAAACTCCACAGTCCGTGAACAACCCAAGCTTAAAGCAGCATAAACCAAGCTACCATGATTCAGGGCTCCTTTTCGGGATCTATAGGGGTTCCTTAAAATGGATCTATAAGGGTTCCTTAAAGGGATCTATAAGGGATCCATTAAAGTTTCAAAGTCCCAAAGGTCAACCTGGTAGCAAAAGTTTGAACCCAAAAACCCACCACGAGGGTTGAGGGATCCGTCGATCCGTGTTGTTTCCCTTTGTGGCTACAAGTCTAGGGTGCAAGGTTTAGGGTTTAGGGTCTAGGGTTTAGGGTTTAGGGCTTCGGGTTTAGGGTTTTAAAATGGCTTAGGGTTTAGTGCTTAGGGCTTAGGGACCCTAGTCCTCCTTTCTTAGCGAGCGCAGGTCAAGCAAGTGGGAGCAGCTGGCAAGGACTTGTTGCGAAGCACTCTGGAGCTTGCTGTCTTTAAGGTTTAGGGTTTAGGGTTTAGGGTTTAGGGCTTGCTGTCTTTAAGAACGAAGTACCAGTAATTTACCGGTATGGTTAGAGCTTCGTGACGCCATGTGTAGGAAGTCTCTCCCTAAGCCCTGAGCCCCAAAGAAACAGGAACCGCTGCCTGCATCGCTTTCGAAGTCTCCCCGTGGGAGGTGTCGTGGCAACAAGTTTCTACCGACATTTTCGGTTTCTTTAAGGGTTCCTTTAGGGAGTGCTTTAAGGCTTCCTTTAAGGCTTCCTTTAACGGTGCCCTTAAGGATTCTGTACGTTGTTTTTGAGGTTTGGGGACTATGTCACGGAAGGCCTCAAGACTTCGATCAGGGCTTCGGGGGAGTGCATGAGCTGTACGGGAAGCTCGCGGGTTTCGGGTTTAGGGGTTGGGTTACGGGTTTAAGTTTAAGGTTTAGGGTTTAGGGGTTGGGTTTAGGGTTTAAGTTTACCTGGCGTTTAGGGAAGCTTAGGGTTTAGGGGTTGGGTTCAGGGGCATATGATTATGGTTTAGGCTGTTTCGTTTAGGCGGGGCTTTAGCCATTGAGGGCGCTTTAGGCTTTAGCCTAGCTTGAAACGCTGAACAAACTTTAAGGATCGCTCTTTGGCGAGAGTTTTGTGAAGGTTTTACAAAAGCTTAGGGTTTAGGGTTTAGGGTTTAGGGTTCAGGGTCTACTTAAAGTGTCAGGGCTATGAGAGCGGATCACAGCTATATGGCTATATCTCATTAAAGAAAGGAAGGTTCTTCCTTAACCCACTTATTACTCTGAGACAGCATTAATTCCGAAGCCTGCACTGATAGCTTAACCACCCGTATTAAATCCTTACAAAGCCGACACTGACAGTCGCTTATGCTGTGAACCCTAAACCCCAAACCCTGAGCCCCAACCCCCAAACCCTGGGCCCTGACCCAGGTTCGGCGGTGCGCTCCCTCGCATCGAAGAAGGCCGGGGCGTTTTGCACAGAGACCCCACAGCTCGTGAGGGTTCTGTAGGGAATGCGGATCTCATCAGGGTCTTGTTTCGAAGCCATGGGGTGCTATAGTTTTATCGGGATGATATGGTTGTATGGGGGTTCTGTGGGTTTTCAACAAGGGTGGAATTTCCAGTGCAGGTGCTGGGTTTTAGGCGTGTTTTTTTCTTTAGTCTGGGGGCGGACTTCTGGATTTAAGGTGTTGGGTCGCCAGGCTTTGGGGTTTGGATTTTAGGTTGTTTCAAAAAGAGGGTTCTGGGGTTTGGGGTACCTTGTCGCCGTATGAGGGGGTTTAGTAATTGCAGGAAGGTGCTTAATCCCGCCATTACAAGTTGCCATGATCCGTTTAGTATGTTTAGTACAGATGCTGGTAGAGGGGCTTACCAAAAGCAAGATGATACCGGCAGCGTTATGGCGTTGAGTGGGGGAGGTCGGCGAGATTTAGTAACAAGGGTTAGAAGTCAGCTAACTGTACATATATCTACTTTTAACTCCACTTAATAAAGGTACTTGTAACCATACTTACTAAGTCCCATGAACCTCCAAGTAGACCCTAAACCCTCAACCCTATAGATCCCTTTAAGGAACCCTATACATCCCTCTAAGAAGCCCTTGAAAGAACCATACTGACTAAGTCCCATGATCCTCCAAGTGGGGGAGGTCGGCGAGACTTTGCTCGAATCTTCTTCGCAGATCAGCGAAAGGCCTGGGGAACCTTTGGCCGAGGATCCCTGCTTCCACGGGATGGGTTGGCTTAGGGTTTACAGGTTTAGGGTTTAACGGTTTAGGGTTTAGGGTTTAAGGGTCCACTAAAGGAACGACAAGGATCTGTTATGGTACAATGAGGTTTAGTGTTTGGCATTCAGGGTTAAGAGGTTGGGGCTTGGGGTTTAAACTTTAGGTTTCGGGCGTTGCGGTAGTGGAATGTGGAATTGCAACCCTAAATCCTAAACCCTAAACCCCTAAACCCTAAACCCAGGGAGCCCTACATCTGAAGTTGTGGTTTTGGCATGCATGCTGCGAAGGCCAAATGCTACAAGCACAGCTTGTAATCTGGTTGAAAGGCCAAAGTGTTCATGGTTGTGGTGCAGGGCAATAATATCCGCTTTGTAGCTCCTGTTTAAGTATACTTTCATATATCTCCGAACCGTAGTCTAACTAGTAGGGTTGCTCCGGACGCCTGAGTTTTCCCATGCTTGTCGCCCAAAGCTGCGAAGTTACACGAGCGTTGGTGGGTGTTTTTAAGAATTACGGTTGATGATATAAATCCTGCATTACCTTAAGGACCCTAAACTATGGGAAGTACGGTATATTCCTTCTTATGGGTGATGCAGGATTTGTATCATCAACCGTAGGGTTCAAGGTTTAGGGTTCGGAGTCTAGGATGCTGGGTTTGGCATTTAGGACAAGCCTGCAAGCTGCAGCCCGAAACGCTGAACTATGCAGCGCACGACCCCAAGGCTTCAATAGCATTCAGGTCCCCGGTTGTCAGAAGCCCGGGTTTGGAGTACCATACTTGAATACTTTTTTTTTGGTGCCTGGTCCTTAAAGAAACCCTAAACCCTAAACCAAACCATTATGAAATACAAGTTTATACGTTGTTGTCGATGGTTACTTCAAAGTCCAAGAAGGTCATTGCTTTGTTCTTTGTCTGTCCCCCGAAGAGGACATGTAGGCCGCAATTGTTCTGGCAGCAGTGCCAGATTCCCAAACCCAGGACACCACATCCTCGAACTTTTCAAGCACACCGGCCCGAAACACTCTCTCGAAGCCCCCAAAGAGCCCCCTTATCGACTTATCGACTCCCGGCTAGATTTATCTAGCAGCCTAAAGCCCTAAATGCTCTGAGCCTTTGTATAAGTCCCGAGCGCTAAACCCTGAACCCCAGACCGTAGATCCCCCCAGAGCCTGCATCGTAGCTTCAAAGGGTAAAAGGAGGGACGCTTAATAAGGACCCCTAGGTATGTACCCTTAATATAGCCATTATAGACCCATTATATAGCCCCATTATAGGGTAGGGGTCCCAATCAAGGGTCCCTCCTTTTCCCCTTTGATAGCTGTCAGATCTTCTTCCTGGGCCCGAACATGCCCAGCATGATGCCTCTACAGCTCGAGCCTCAGGTCAAGGGAGTCGGGTTTAGGGTTTGGGGTTCTGGGTTAGGGTTTAGGGTTTTGGGTTTAATGTAGGGTGCTATGTTTGGCTCAGTAAGGTTTCTATAGGGTCCTTTAGCTTTGGCAATCAGGCTTTGAATGCCCTACAAGGTTTATACACCTGTATCGGGCTTCTAATTGATTCAGATGTGGGGTTTAGGGTCGTTGGTTCCAGGGCTCTGTCTTTGGCCTCAAGGTGGCAATTTCCAATCTTCCCTGCAAGAAAAGCCGGGCTGCGAATATCAGCGCTTCAGCGTTCAGGGTTCAGCTGGTGAGTAATCCCCATACCGTAAACCGTAAACCCACCGAGTAAACACTATTCGTGACTCACAGAGTGCGCCCCGCTGGGTAGGCTTGACACCGCTTGCGGGAGTCCGACACACTTAAACAACATCCTAAACCCTAAACCCTAAACCCAAAACAGCACAGGGCTTCGGGATTAAAGCTTTGGGTTGAGGGCCTAGGTTCCCAGATATTCAATACAAGGCATAGCGCAGGCGAAATCACTGGAAATCGCTCGCGTGAAGATTCCCTTACTATACATCCCGTCGTTTGTTGGGGGAACATTTTGTGTGCAGAGGATTCGGTTGTTTGTTTTGGAATTTGGACAACCAAAGCCACATGTTTCAGCTTGTAATCCTAAACCCTGAAGTGCTAGGCTTGCACTACACCCTAAAACCAACTTCAAGTTCTCAATCCCTAGACTTTAAGACTACGAACCCACAAACCCTAAACCCTAAATCGGGGATCTAGCCCGATCCGGCCCACGCTTTCAAAAGCCTAAGCGAGAGAGTGCAGTTTGAACGGACGCATACCAATTCCGCTACGCAGGTGAGCATACCTAAGTTGCAGAAAGCTAATCTGCAAGTGATAGTACTGCTTTCGCGGCTGTGCAGGGAGTGGCTCCGATTGTTTCGGGTCACTCCTACCGCCGCACTGGACACTTGATTGATATGAGGCAACCGTTTTGTGCAGAGCACCATGTGACCATTCTGAACCCGAGATTCAGGACCAACAGCCCGAAACCTTGGGCGTTGTGACTTTGAGCCCTAAACCCTCAACCCTATACAATCTGTTGGCGCAGCAAGCAGGCGAACACTGCAGTGAAAGTTGGCATAACACAAATACAGCTCAAGCGTCACCTTCCACACGAGATCTACAGTTCTTACGCATAATAACTTTACATAGCCTTGATGATGATGATGATGATGACGATGACTAATTATGATGTACATTTGCAGTATGATAAGAGCAGCAAGAGTCAGAAAATCACCTGCAGCGACCATGCCCAACCCTGCACACATAAACCTGTACCCCCCCAGCCTTTGTAAATCCTCAAGCCATGAACCCTAAACCCTAGTATAGGGGCCTTAAGAATTACCAATACTATTTGTGGGGCTCTTCATTATAATTCAAGCATTATTGGGCCCATTATTGCGGCTCCTATATGGAACCCTAAACTCTTGAAGATTTTGGCGACCTCTCCCCGCTACACCCTAAACAGCAACGGAAGCACAACAGAAGAAGACGGAACACAAACACCCACCCCAAAGCCTAAACCCCAATGCCTGAGCCCTGAGCCCTAAACCCTCAACCCTAAACCCCGAATCCTCAACCCTAAACCCGAAACCCCGAACCCTCAACCCTACACCCTAAACCCCGAGCCCTCAACCCCGAACCCTCAACCCTACACCCCGAACCCTCAACCCCAAACCTCCAAACCCCAAACCTCCAAACCCCGAAGCCCGAACTCCAACCCCAAACCCTAAACCCCCAACCCTCAACCCTAAACCCCCAACCCCGAACCCTAAACCCTAAACCCTGAACTTCACCAAGAGATGCCCGAAAGCTGAGGCCGACCGGAGGTCCCAGCTCCGCTCACATCGGTGATCTCAACGAACAGGCCCAGGGGGTAAAGGGGGTCTACTTAGAGGATCATGGGACTTAGTAAGTAGGTTATAATTGGGGTTATAAGTCCCCTAAGTGGGGTTATCCTAATTATAACCGACTTATAACCTTACTTACTAAGTCCCATGAGCCTTTAAGTAGAACTCGGAGGTCTAGAGTTGAGAGGGTGGAGGGATTAGAGTTTAGGGTGTAGGGTTTAGGGGTTTAGGGTTCAGGGGTTTAGGGTTGAGGGGTTTAGGGGTTTAGGGGTTTAGGGTTTAGGGGTGTAGGGTTTAGTGTTTAGGGTTTCGGATTTAGGGTTTAGGAGAGTTTTGGGCCAGTTTAGGGTTGAGGGTTTAGAGTTTAGGGTTGAGAGTCTACTGTTTTTCAGGGTTGTTGTGCTTCAGGTTTTTCAAATCGCCGTTTTGTTGCGCTAGAGTTTCAGACTCCAGCTGAGGCCCCTTCTGGGTGTCAGTGTTGAAGGCTGCAAAAGTTGATCGAAAAGGAAAAGCCCAGACCCCCGGGAGGATCCAAAAAATAGATCCCTTAATGGGGGTTCCTATAAAGTACCCTTAGTAGTATAGGGCCCCAAATTAAGGGATCTACTTTCTAGATCCTCCCGGGGGTCAGGGAGGCAGTCGGTAAGTTCAGAGGTGGTACCGCGCACCGGTGCGGATACAACAGCTGGACCACAATCGGGATAACGCCAGGAAGGCCAATAATTTGTAAGAGTACTCCACTGAAAGACATATCCGAACCAATACTCAACATTCCATCTCGAGTAGGGAGTAGTGTACAAGAAGGCAGTTGTGACACCTAGGGCCTACAGTAGAGTTTCATAAGGTTATTGCAGGGGTCTGATGGCAACTATTCCACCCAAGCTCGGAAATTTCGAAGCAGGATCACTTCTGGGTTTCAGGCCATCGAACGAGGCATGGGTGGTAGTCAAGGCCGAAACTCTCACCCTAAACCCTAAACCTTAGGCCCCCTAATCCCTAAACCCCTGAACCCTCCCTAAACCCTAAACCTCAGGCCCCCCAAACCCTAAACCCCTAAACCCCTAAACCCTAAACCCCTAAACCCTCCCTAAACCCTAAACCTCAGGCCCCCTAAACCCTAAACCCCTAAGCCCTCAACCCTTAACCGTAGGCCCCCTAAACCCTGAACCCTAGAATGTCAAGCCTTAGATCCTCACTCCTGGAGCTTGAACCAACCACTCCAAAATCCTGAAGCCGGAACCCTACTCAGAGGCTCATGGGGCGTAGTAACTAGGGTCATATTTTTTTAGGTAACGGTAACTTCGTAAATAAATGACTTCTGATCCCAATTAAGGTGAATAGCCCTCCTAAACCCTAAAGCCTGAACCCCCAAACCCTAAACCCTAAACCTCAAAACCCTAAACCCTAAACCCTAAAACCCTAGAGCCTAAACCCCAAACCCCGAAACCCTAAACCCTAGACTTATTATAGTCCTCCAACTGGACCCTCCATCCTCAACCCTACTGCAGGTGGTCGCTAAGCATCCGTCAACCCTGAATCGAAGTTCCCTTAAAGGAATCCTTGAAAGGAGCCCGAAGCCGTCAAGCCCAATTCCAAAGCCCTGTGTTGTTGTCTAGGTAGGCCTTTGGGACATTTTATATTTTCCCTTATTGGGCTTAGTAGGACCCTATTTACGAATATTTTTCAGAGGCTTTAAGGGGCCAACCTAGTTGTACTCTTATAGGATCCATTAAAGGGATCCTTACTACACTTTAGAGCTTAAGCACTGCGCCCTGGGCCTCAAACTCTAAATCTTAAAACCTTAAAAGGAGCATTTGTGACCTGCCGCAGGTGGTCGATAAGGCGGAGAGCCTGTTTAGAGAAAGCCTGGTGAAACACCTCGAGCAGGCGGGGGGCAGACGTGCTTTTGGCATATGTTGTTCTTCAAGGGTACTTATAGGGAAGAGTGTATCAGGTGTAGGGTTTAGGGTTTGGGGTTTCGGGTTTAGGGTGCTGTAAGGGTTACGAATTGGGGTCCATAAGCGTTTAGAATATGAGGACTCCTTCCGAGGCTCCAGAAGTTATTTGGACAGGGCTACTGAGAGTTCTATACGTGAGGGGTTTAAGGTAGGATCTTTAAGGGTTCTATGATTTCAGATTTCAGGCGTGTCAGCCGTCGGGTATAGGGATCGGGGTTGGGGGTTCAGGTTTGGGGTTTAGGTCTGCGGGGTGCATATACGGGCACTGTAGGGCCGCATCAGGTTTAGGGTGGGTTTAGGGCTGAGGTTTCATTCATCTGATGGGGGCCTAAGAGGATCTTGATAGGGTTTCTCTGTGTAGCTTTACGCCGTTTTATGTTGGTTCGATGGGTGGGGGTTCCAGTATAAGTGTGCTGTGATCTAGCAAGATAACAGTGTGCAGATACAGGGTTCCATAGGGCTTGACAGACTCTTAGAAACGCAGCCAATCTGAGTCTAGTGTAATCTGCCTCCAAACGAATGGTGTTTGTTTGGGCTCATGCCCTAAACCCTGAACCCTAGACTTGAAGCCCTATGGCCCTATACAAACCAGGCCTTCAGTGGCGTTCCCAAGCAAGAGCTTGTGGATACTTTGGTGCAGCGTTCTGTGGCGGCCATGACGGTGGGGCGCAAAGTTTGCCAGGGCTCAATACTTAAAGGATCAGGGGATCGAATAAGTGGGTTCATGGGGCTTTAATTGGGCCGTTTATGGCTTAGATTACTTGGGGGCTTAGTAAGATGGGTCCGAAGTACCTTGATTGAGGTTTTCAGTACTTGCACCTAGTGCTACCTTGCTTTTAAGTGCTCTTGTCCGCTGATCCTGCAACTATATCCCAGAAGACAGCGCCCTTTTTGAACCTCTGGGATCCTCCTAGTAAACACAACCCATCATAGAACCCTGCACAGATTTTCACAACCTTTCCAAGCGGCCATACAACTACGCTAAACCCTTGCAACTTTTGCAACTTTATCATACGTACAAATGCTTATAAGTCTACTTACAGAGTCCCCCGGATGCTCTAAGTATGGGTTCCTGAGCTCGAGCTCTTTTGGAGCCCGAGGTCTATCTTAGCCACGGTTTAGGGAATATAGAGTCTAGACGCGTTGGAGGTTCCTCAACCCACTTGAAGTCTACATAGGCCCTTACGGTGCCTGCAGGGGTTTGGGACTTTATGGCTTGAGGATTCAGAGACTCCAATACCCTTTAGCTAAGGAATATAGCTTAAATCATATTCGGGATCCTATTATAATTTAAGGGATATTCCTTAATTAAGGGGTTTTGGAGTTTCTAAGGACTCTTTTGAGCCCTAAACCCTAAACCCCATTAAGGACTCTTCAGTTTTGGAGTCGTAAGTTCTTCCCTGGAGGCCTTTCGGGCCTCGGCAGTTTCTTCGAGAGTCGATCGTCCTGAAGTCCAGGTTCTGTAGGGCCTTACAAAGGCGCGTATATAAGTAAATACATAAATGCATAAATAAATAGGTAAATAGATAAATAAAAAAAGTATATATATATATATATATATATGTTATATATGTTATATATATATATATATATTATATAGGGTTCTATAAGGCTTTGTGAGGGCTTAGGTTCAGGCCGGCAGGTGCCGGTTTGTGGCGTCTGCTTGGGGTAGGTTGAGGGGTTTTTGATTCGGTTTAGGGTATGTGTAGGACCCTAAACCCTAAACCCTAAACCGAAAAGCTCCGGGTCCAAAGAGGCTTCCAATTTAACAGGGCCTCGGGTCTAGGGTTAAGGGCACAAGCCCTAAACCTAAACCCTCCGGAAAAAGGAATTTGCTAAACATACTCTAAACCCCAACCCGAAACTCTCAGCCGAATGAGCTGTTTCTAAGCGGGCGGTTTTTATGGTGTTTAGGATTTGGGGGTTTAGGGGTTTAGGGTTTTGCACCCTGCACCCGCACAACCCAATTTTTTGACACCCTTGATGAACAGACCCCTTTTTTCAACCCTACACCCAAAGACCCTTATAGAACCCCCTCCTACAAAGAAGCCCGAAAAGCTTTCGGGCAGGGGTTCTGTGCTTGGAACAAGGTTTGTGTCTGGATGTAGCATACTATGGGGGTCTATTAAGGAACCTCAATATAATTATAGTACATTGGGCCCCAAAACCCTATTCTAATCATTAAGGCCTCTACATTACTCAGATTGTATACGGACCGCAAAGACTGTCAGTTCCTGGGGCTCCCGTAGCCACCGTGTGCCCTGTGAGGTCAATGTCGGCACGGGTTAGGGTTTAGGGTTGAGGGTTTAGGGTTTGGGGTTTAGGGTCTTGAGGGTTTAGGGTCTTGAGGGTTTAGGGTCTTGAAGGTTTAGGGTCTTGAGGGTTTAGGGTCTTGAGGGTTTAGGGTCTTGAGGGTTTAGGGTCTTGAGGGTTTAGGGTCTTGAGGGTTTAGGGTCTTGAGGGTTTAGGGTCTTGAGGGTTTAGGGTCTTGAGGGTTTAGGGTTTAGGGTGCCCTGTGAGGTCAATGTCGGCATCGATTTTGCAACAACTATGCATCTGATGCCAACGCCGATGCCCCGGGGGGCTTTGAGGTTGGGTTCAGGGACTTGGCCCTAAACCGAACACCTTAAAACCCGTAAACCCTAAACCCCAAACCCCTAAACCCAACACCTTAAGCCGAAAACCGAAAACTCCAAACCCTAAACCCGTAAACCCTAAACACCTAGAACCGAAAACCCTAAATCCTAAACCCTGAGTTCCAAGCCGAAAGCCCTGAACTCCAAGCTCTGATGCAAGCTGTTGGTGACGACGTCTTTCTTCTAATGTCTCCTGGAAACGCAGGTTTTGCATAGCCTTCTCAAATCTTCTCAATGCGAGGCACTGCTTCTGTTGGGCGCCGTGTGCTCTCCTCGGCTACTATGGCCCAGGCTCATCCAAGCGGAAGAATTGGAGCTACTGTATCAAGCTCCCCCGCTCTATGCCACGTAATTCTTCAGTGTGCGGAGTGACTTCATGCCGGAGCGGATCAAGCGCATGAAGAGCGACAGCCAGATGATACAGATCTCTGGTTCATAGGGTGCGTTCCAGAACTGCATTTTGCCAGCAAGTCTTTGACCGGCTAAAGCGGCCACTTTAGCGATTGTGCGCGAGACGTTGGCGCAGTCAGGGCACTTGACTGGTCCTAAGTGCACCGTTCCCTGGCCAGATCCTGAGATATCCTGAGCGCTCGAACCCTAAACCCTAAACCCTAAGCCCTAAACTCTAAGCCCCAAACAGTAGTAAAAATGTCCGGCCCAAGCCCTATTCGAATTCTGAAGGCCCCCATAACTAGCCTCTCCGTTCAGGGTTCAGGCTTCGTGGCTTTCGGGTTTCGGGTCAGTCTGGCTAGGCCTTCACAACATCGTCATATTCACATTACTAAACAACATGTAACATGAGCTCTTGTACAAATCCTTGTAGCACCGTCTGCAAATTCTAACGAAACCACTAAGGTTCCCTTATTAAGCCCTCATAATATACAGCCCTGCGACCCAAATCCTGCAAACTGGATTTTGCAACCTTAAACTCCAGCATCAGGAATGCTCCAGCGACTGGAACAGAGCACGTACGCGAACCCTGATTGGGTAGGTCCAGCTAGCACCCTTCCAGACTTCTCATGAACTCCAACAAAACACCCATAAAACCCTCTAGAACCTCACAAAACCCAACACCCAAATCCCAAACCCTAACTCGCACAAATCGAGAAGTGCACTAAACGAGCCCGAGACCCTAAACCCCAAAATTTGACCGTAAACCCGAAAGCAGAACCCCCCAAAGCCCAGGTTTTTGTATGTAATACTATATCCCTGCAGTCCCTTAGGATGCTCTACCCGGAGACCTAAACCCTAAACCATAAACCCTCAACCCCAAAACCTAAACCGTCATGGAACCCTTAAAGGAAGCCGTATAGATCCCAAAAGCCGAGGTTTTTGCAACCCCTTAGATGCTAAACCCCAAACCCCTTAAGCCCTAAACCCAAACCCCAAGCCCGAAACCTAAACCCCGAACCCTGAACCCTAAACCCTGAGCCTCAAAAACGCCCCAGGTTTTTGCAACCCCTGTTTCTAATCGTTGTCCGCGGCGACGGTAGCCCGAACGAGGCCCTGTCTTGACAGACGGCCCGACTTCTTGGGGTGTACTAGAGTGCCCTTACTTGGAGGGTCATGGGACTTAGTAAGTAAGGTTATAAGTACCTTAAAGTGGGGTTATAAGTAATCATAAGTATATTTACCTTAATTATAACCCTAGTTACTAAGTCCCATGATCCTTTAAGTATAGTTACTTATACTATGCTGGGGGCTCTTTATTATAACTATGGTATAACATACCACAAAACCTTATTCTAATTGTTAAGGCCCCGACAATATGCAGGGCGGAGGGACGGCTTTTCACGGGTTCAGGGTTCCTGTGATATAAGGGATCTACAGCGGTTCTATAAGGGTTCTTGCGGGGTTTATATCCGGGTTATGGGGTTAAGGGTGTAGCTTTGAGTAGAGGATTTAGGATAATCCTGAAGTTCTTAGGGCTCTGTTGGAGTTTATAAGGTTTTTGAGTGTTCTTTAGGGCTTTACAGAGCTTCATGCGGCTTATGGGGAAGTGGTGACACCTTTATGGTTTAGGGATTCGCGGTTTAGCCGTTTACAAGGGGCAGTACCCCCAGCATGCCTTACGCGGATTTGGGATTTTGTTGTCTTCGGAACCCTAAACCCTAAACCCTCTGTGTAGATCCCTGAATCGTGCCCTGGCCTTCATGGCAAGGCTGACAGGTAGGGTCTTGCAATGTTTGGTTAATAAAAGTTATTGGTCTTATACGGTTGTGTGAGGGCTCCGGAGGGTTTGTACAGGGGTTTATGCGGCTTTTCTGGGTCTCGTTGGGGGTTGAGGGCTTTCTGTCTGGCATTTGGGCTTAGGACCCAGGTCCCTAAACCCTAAACTAAACCCCAAAAGGGTTTCGGGGTCTCGAGGTGTCAGGGTTTCAGGGTTGTGACCCTACATTCTGAGCACTGAGACTGGTCCTGAACCCTAAACTCCAAACCCTTCCAGGACCAATCTAGAACCTAATGGAAACCTGATAGAACCGGTCTAGAACCTTGGTAGAGTGGTCTGTTCCGCATGGTTCGAACGCGCAGAGTAGACCTCACGCTGCCTCGCCCCGTTCCCTCGCTTTTGCGCCTAAACGCCCGCCATGGCCGACGCCCCTGAGCTGGCAGCCGGAGCACGCAAGGCCGCTTTAGGGTGTAGCGTAATATAGGGGCCTAAATAAACACCAAGACTAGTGTGGGTGTTTTTTGTTTTAAGTATAGTATAATGGGCCCCAAAACCTTATTCTAATTATGAAGGCCCCTATATTCATGTTTCAGGGTTTAGGGTTCAGTTTGTAAGCCTTCTTTTGTCCTCAACTTTTGTTGCGATGACCATTGTCGTTGGTATTTTGCCATTTTGGCTCTGGTGATCCTTATCATCACTGTGTGATTCCTGTTTCGAGTGTCTTCATAACTTAGTTCAAACAAAAGGTTGATACGTGACGGGTCAGGGGACCTAGTAGGTACAGCTGCAAGAAGGGTTTCCTGCCGTTATCTCAAACTGCCGCCTTATTGTAGGGTATAACTTGGGTACCGCCCCCCCCACTCTGTAAGACTTATTGTAGATAATATGTGAAATATAAATATTGGAGTTTCCGAAAATAGGGGACCCTAATATAGCACCCTAAATAGTAGGATCCTTATTGAAAGGACCCCCACGCACCCAAGTTTTCGGAAAATCCCATATATGTAACCCTTAACATGACCCGTAAGTATAGACTGTTGCAGGCTGCGGGGCAGTACCCAAGGTACAACCATTAGAGCAGCAGGTGTATTCGGCCCACAGCTCCCACTAGCGATTTGGAAAACCGAGCAGTCCATCGAACAAGGAGGATTTTACGGAGGGTTTTTTTGGGGAATAGTCCTGAAGCTAGACAAGGCCCCGAAGTACAAGTGCCAGCAGTATGCCAGAATCAGGGATGTTGGCATTTTTAGGATCCGTACAAAACCATTCTAAAGCCCTTCCTAAAAACTTTTCTTCACAAATCTCTTAAAGTCTATCTATACAGGCCTTCAAATCTCTTAAAGTACTCCCTCAGGACCCTGAAAGAGCCCCTGTAGATTTTTTCGCACAGCAACCCTTAAAGAAACCCTCCAAGGAACCCTTGCCGGAATCCTGACACGGGCACTCCTTAAAGGAAAACTTAAAGGAAGCTACGGTTTAGGGCGTAGGATTTAGGGTTTAGGGGAATCCTTAAAGGAAGGCTTAAAGGAAGCTACGGTTTAGGATTTATAGTGTTTAGGGGAATCCTCTGAAAACTCGCAGGTGTTGGCCGATGAGGTGGCCGCCCCGTTCCGGGAGGAGATCCGCAAGGTATCCTCATGGGCGCTTCTCAGGGTTTCTCGGGGTTTTCTTTAGCTTTGTATAGTCTGTTGGGGCATGATAGGGTTTCTGAGGATTTCTAAGAGTTTCTTCTGATCAGAGTTTAGGGTTTAGGCCTCAGGGTTGAATTACGAGGTTTAGGTTTAGGTGCTTCTTTTGGCAAAGGTCTCAAGGTTCTTTCGGTGTCAGATCTTCGATGGTTTCAGGGCTGAGCGTTGATTAGCTCGGAGTGATCGTAAGGTTTGCAGTTTGGCGCCTTAAACCCTAAACCCAAACCCCTAAACCCAGTGTTTGTGTTTCCTGATTTTGGGGTCGATGTGGCAGTGTCCACACCCATAAAAGCGCTACAGTAAACCCCTTAAACTTGGAAACCGGATTCGGGCCAAATAGTGCTGGGATTCCCCAGAAATACTCCAGAGGATTTAGGCTATTAGGTTTCCAACTTTTGCCCTGAGCAGAGGCCGCAAGAAGGAGGATCCTTGTCATAAGGCTTACCTTTGGTTAGTAGGGAATGGAAGAATGGTAGTAATAGTAACTGTAGTTATAAATTGTACCCCATTCCTCCATTCCCTACTACTACCAACCAAAGGTAAGAAGGGGGGCTTAGTATTATGCGCAGCGATCGAAGTGCGATAATCGTTGTGAGTCGCAGAGCGGATGCCTCCTCACACTCCACACACCGTCGTGCCGTGGCCTCCCGCGATGTTTGCGGCTAACACGGCCTGACAGGAGCTCTACTCAAGAAAGGCGAGGGCTTCGCCTTAAGGGTGACAGGCTTCAGCATGACAAGGAGTCATTGCAGCAGGGGTTCAGAAGGCGCCCTGACTCTCGCGCGAGAAGACCCTGGAGGAGAGAGAGGCGGAGCTCCAGCTTCGGGTTCAGGGTTCAGGGTTCAGGGTTTAGGCTGCAGGGCTGCAAGGCCAGTGGTTTCTCCTGAAGTCGTCATCTCTGCAAGCAGCGGCGAATCAGGAGAAGGAAGAAGCACTCGGTTTGGCCATGTTTTCCATCAGCGAAGGTCATTCTATGGTTTTAGGCGGCTTTAGGATGCCCAAATGTTGAATCAGGTTTAGGACTTTCCGATTTAGGGTTCAAGGTCGAGACCGGCTTAAGCCCAAGACTGAATTATAGGGGCCGAAAGTATCCGGAACCATTTCCGTAATTTCCATACATTCCCCCTCCTTTTTTGCCTGTTGCGTTACGGCAATATGAACTTCAACATCCTATTCTACGTACTTCGGCCTCTGTGATACCTGCCTACTTAGAGGATCACGGGACTTATAGTAACTAGGGTTATGATTAAGGTAACTATACTTACAAGTACTTATAACCCCACTTAAGGTACTTATAATCCTACTTACTAAGTCCCATCATCCTCCAAGTACTGCCAGAACCCACCCTAAGCCCGAGCCCCAGCAGTAGCAACCCTGTCGGTTTAGGGTTTAGCTAACCATTGATATTATGGGAGCCAAGGAGCCAGGGATGATGATAATCCCTATTAAATAAGGAGCAGGGAACCCCCAAAACCACTGGCTAGTTAGGTCTCGCACATTGTTAGACCTCATGTAATCCAAGCAAAGCTTGCGCGAATAGCCGGATCCATAGTCCGAAGCAGGGGTTTGTTCATCAGGCTCCTACAATACAAGTCACATACATATACATACACAATATATGCATATATATATATATATATACACACACATACACTCACATGAAGGAGAGGGTGTTTCGGGTCGAGGGAGCTCCTCGTGGCGCAGTACTTCAAGAGATTGAACTTCTACGGACGGACAGACACAGACACAGACACACCCAGACATTAGATAAGACGCATTAGACCTTAAACCGTTTAACCTTTAACCGAAAGCTTGTACCTCTCCAGCCTTCAAACCTTCAACTCTAAATTCTGAGCCCCGTTCCCTCAAACCCCCAGTACGTGTGCTCAGCCTTCAGACAGACCTAGAACACTGTGCGTTCGAATGCCTTTAACGCGCTGCGAAGTCTTCACACAAGCTCGTCGAAAGGCGGTAAACCTCTGGGGGAATGGATCCCGAAAGTAGTCCCTATATAGTCCCCAATAGTGTCCCCAATAATCGTGCCCAGAATCCATTCCCTACAAAGCACCAGGGAGAAATGGCCTTGAATACAACCAATTCATCAAGATCTGTTCAAAAGCCCAAAGCCCCAAGCACTCTGAAAGCACGTGCAATCAACGTGCTTTGTGTACGGATCCTAAGCCCTTAACTTAACCTCAAAGCAACCTAGGCCCTAAACCCTGTATTTTTTACAATTCTAGTCTTAAGCCTCAAGCCTTCAGACTGCTAAACCATGTAACCATGAGTGCAAAGCCATCTTCCCCAAATCGTACAGCCCAGACCTTAAAGCCTACACCTAGACACTTAAGCGTTCACCCTAATTCCTGAAACCCCTCAACCCTAAAGCCCTAAACGGACCAGGCCGTCGCCGACATGGGTGGAGTCGGACCAAAGCTGGTCGGATTTTTGGCCAACGCCGACCCTGCGGCGAAGAAGTGGCGTGGCAAGGATGTAGACCCTAAACCCTAAACCCTAAACCCGATGCGTGTTGGGTTTTATGGCGGTTTTTGGCAGGGCGCAGGGCTGACCGGCCGTACATGGGGTTTTAAGGATTTGGGGCTGTTGGGTGTAGGGTTTAGGGTCTTTATGTTTAGGGTTTAGGATTT